ATACTCTGTCTGTTTAATAACAGTCTCTTTGGATGACAACAATCTTATCCAAGCCTCGGTGTCCATCTGGTCCAGCTGCTCTGGTAACATATATCCCTCCTGATCATCTTACTCGTCTGTGCTGCCACCTACATAAACTACACGTACCTTTTAAATAGCCGCATATGTGACATGAAGGATCTACACTGTTTTGTCAGGTTGTCCATATCTGTAATGATATGCATAGGATCTGAGGATAAGGCTTCCAGGAGGCTGCTGATGCTTTGTAAATTGGAGAGGGTGGATCTAAGCTATGATAGATGTTTCAGATATGGGAGGGTTGCACCTTTGTACCAAAGAGGTGTTGATCTCTGGCCAGCCATCAATATCATATATTCTGATGTGGCTTTATCATCATATGAATACTAATATCCCCTTTGGCTATTCAACTAATATTGATGTGATCCTTTGTAGAATGTTAGGGATAACCTAATAACCAAAGGAGCTGTATATTTATTCTCTCCTTCTCATCCCCTCAAAAGCAGATTCCTACAGTTCTGGTCTCAGTAACTGACCCTCATATCAGTGGCAGATTTGAGGACATTGTCCCTCAGTGAGTAACTTCTATTCATCTTTATGAACAAATATATCTAAAACCATATCAATCTGCAATTCAAAGGTGAGCATGTTTGAGAAAATAGGAAAGAAATATGAATGAACTGCCGAAGGTAAAGACATTATCATTATTGAAAGGATTGTGGGTAATGTGATTTCACATACTGAATGGTCTGGTAATCACCTACCTACCACTGTTAGCACATATAATTAATTTATCATTCTGTCAATATTATTTTTTGTGCCTGTGGATCAGGCCACCAGTAAATGCTGATATTTCAATGTGCGAACTGTTAACTGGGACATGGCAAACAATTGTTGTTAGATGGAACATTATTATGTCATAATGGTCATGCAGACCAATATTATTATTTTTTAACGACATGGCAACTGTCCATTCATTCATGTGGATGTTACAAGTGATGAAAGAAGGTGTTACCCAGTGCCAAATTGTTGACTTTAGACGACCCTTACTGAAGCCCCTTCACTTGAGCCAGACATCTCTGGCACAGATCTGTGTTTATTGACCAGAACAATTCCTACTGTACCTGGACACCATGACTTGAGTGTAAATCACCTGATAAGATGACCAGATCTGACCAAAAGAGATATATCTTGGGGAAGAAATCCACCTCTCTGTTTATAAGGGAATACTGAGGGGTCTTAATTAAAATGATAGAGATTGACTATGTAGTTATTATCCCATCACAAATGACCTGATACAGATATAAACACAGACTTGCTGTCTTCTGCCCACACTACATCAGGAACAATCTGTACCTACATACAAAGTACTGCTACGTAGTTTTGTTGCTTTCACCGACCACCAGAGCTATACTGACATAGCTACCAATGGCCTCCAACACTCAACATTCTTAAGATGTGTGTCGGTAGAACCCTTCTGACAGGGAGATAGCATAATTGTTGCCTTGGGCTGCTCTAACACTTGGTAGTACCACCTCATTCTTGTCTTGGATCAAATTATGAAACAGATACGATACCATCATAAGGGTGGTGACTGATGGTAATGGGGTGAAGAAGATGCTGCTACTGCTGTGGGTCATGTTTGTCACTGTTTGTATACTGGTACGTACTGTTAAGCTGAACTTCACATCAGCAGCTGGTTTTAGATACACTGCCTTCTGAAACTGCAGTACACAAGTGATCCAATGGCATGTTGGCCAAACTGCAAATATAACATTTTTCAGTCACATGTAATCTCAAAAAAAGTATTTATAAGGTCATCAATAGTGTGTGTGTGTGTGTGTGTGTGTGTGTGTGTGTGTGTGTGTGTGTGTGTGTGTGTGTGTGTGTGTGTGTGTGTGCATTTGCTGATACACACTGTTGATTTATGAGTAAGGTTTCCATGCAGCATCACACTCCCAAATCTAGATCACTTGTGTGTACATAATGCCACTTATAAAGTGTAATATCTGATGGCACTTTCTTCTTGTTTGCAACAATGTGCAGCAAATATTACACTGTAGTATCTGCCATACACCTTTGGCATTTATAGTCAAGTCATACCACACATAAATATTTGCTACACATCCCCTAATAGGTTAATCAGCAACCTGTCAATCAGACAGCTGAGCATATACCAGGTGTCAAGCATACTTTTTGGCACTTAAGAAAATATTTTTACAACTTGGTTTTCAAAAACATCCATAGCCTCGTTGGAGGTTCAGTACCTATCCGTCGTAACATCGCCTTTGCTGCTGTGGAGAGACGGACATATTTGTTTTTCTGTATATTTGATCCTTAACGATATTGTTTTATTTTGATTGCACATCTGCTGGTAACTTGACATTAACTACAAATTATTGCTGAAAATTGCTTGGATCCAAATAGCCTGTATTTGTTGTCATAATGAGTGATGAATCAATTCATTTGTAAATCCTTCACCTGCAGGGGGTTGAGAAGGAATGGAACTCAAAACAGTTCAGATGACTTACGTGTTGTATTAGAGGGGTGCTTGTATGATTATTGTGGAATTATCAATTATTAAAGGAATATGGAGTAACTCTTGTGGATGAACCACAAGCATGAGATACTATGATTAAGAATCATAGTAGCATCTATACTATGTCTTCCAACAGAGATGTTGAAAATGGATAGTATCACCACATGAATCGTTCATTTTCCAGATTTACATTATCCGTTCTTTTTGAAAAATTGGGTGTCATTTTATTTCCAGGAACCAGGATAAGGTTACTTCAGGAAAAAGGGTGCCAAGTCATTTAGAAAAGTAGGACAGCTCCTAATATGTAATTTGTGATATTCTATTGGTTGATGAAATAAGAATCAAGAGAGACAAATGTATTCCTTTATTAAAGGCTACAAATGCTTACAGTGTTTGTACAGAGGTCTCAGTATGTAAACTGACAACTGCCATAGCTTGTTCTATGTTCCTCTCATTCACAATGTCTGCCAATACAGTCTAGCAATAAATAATGTTTAGAAAGCCATTCCATAAAAGACAATCAGGAGGTGCCATGTTGCCCATTTTATTGTCCCTCTGTGACACTCCTGTGGAGGATATAAATTTCTTTTGCAGACACATATATTGTGGAAGGAAGAGCCGTGAAGACACAATCTGAATATCCCTTCCCACCACTGACAAAAAGAAATAATTTGTGGCTGTACACATAAGAGATAAAAATGTAATTTCTTTTCGAAAATTGTTGAAAAAAAGTAGACATTGCTCTCTTGCCTCAGAGTCCATAATCACCATTAGTCTTAATGTGCTGCCAGTTAGGCTGAGGAAGACCATCCTGACACCATGAATGCTGTGAACACAATCTTCTTGGGAGATTATTTTTGGTTGTTAAAAAAGTAAAATAAAATCCATCATGGCACTTAATGATGTTTGAATACATAATTCATACTCAGAAATTGTTACTACCGCAGAGTAATTAATTTCAGAGGGGGGAATATTACCAATTCCTGAAAATGTTGTGTAATAGGAGGTTAAAAGCATGTAAGCTGGTTTTCGAGTTTGAATTATTTTACAAATGTTAACATTGCAATTTGAAAATGTCACAAATTACGACAATTGAGTGCATAATGATTAGTCATGTTTTCATGTTCTGCATGTCAAAATTTGAGTTATAATGATAGGTTTTCAGCTAGTGGAGCTTGGATAGCTGGAAAAAGGCAATCATGACTCAACCATTTCCTCAATCTTCAGACATGTAGATTCCCTTATATGTCATGGTGATTAAATGTGTACCTGATCATCATATGAATGCTTTCAGGTTGAATAACAAAAGGAAAATATGGCTCCAGTTGAGACAGTTTCTGTCTTCAATGTCCATGGTGTACTCAACAGCTGCCATAAACTACTGAGTTTCTGTCAGATAGTCAGACTGAACAAGCTTGCCCGTGTTTAGTCTACATGTGATTTGTACCTCCTGAGTCTGGTGTTGACAAACAGTCCAGACATTGGAGATTTGTAATTTAGTTTTGTCTGTATGTTTTGGTACAGTTGTGTTGTTCTCAGTCACATGGTGATGTTGTGTTGTATGAAGCATATGTTCATAATGAGACTTGTGGGGAGACTGTGTTAGAATTGGTCTCATTGTCCAATCCATTCTGTTTCCTGCTATGACAAGCAGAGATTACTGGGGACTATTCCTAACACTGAATCCCCAGAAGGTTCTGCTTGTCATGGGAGGTTATTTAGAAGGGGTGTTTCCAGTTGTGCACCCCTTCATGCCATAATTATACAGTCTTTGATTTTCATGATCAGTTTATTTACACACTGTTGTGATATGGATGATACAACATGATGTCACGTATTCACTGTACTTCATGATAATTTGTATCCTCTGTGTATAATATTGACACATGGATGAAATGTTACATCTAGTTTTGTCTCTGCCCATTACTGCTCTTGTGTTCACATTGCTGTAGGAATATTCAGGATATTAACATGATAAGATGTGTTACAGTTGCAGGGAAATCTCTGTTGAAGGTGTTAAGACATGTAAGATGGGAGACATTCATACAGTGTTGGACATGGTTATGTCACCAAGGTTGGACTTTTGTGTCCCATGGTTGTAAGATCTACTTACAGTGATTTGGGTGGTGTACACTGTAAGACCTGACTGACTGTGTGTCATTGTGCTGCTTCAGCATGGCTCTTGACTTAGGCTATCAAGCCCAGAATGTTGGTTACAAACAGGTCTTGATGATGAAGCTAGAATGTTGATTTTTCAGTATTAGGCAACATTCACTATCTTGTATTTTAGGATTGTGTGAAGTGTTTCTCAGAACCAATGCATCACTTCATGTCATTTTTGTTGACATTTTACATATGTTTATATTTTTCAGATTTCATGCTTGTATTTATCATATAGCTGGTTATATGTACGACTTGAGCTTATTGTTGCTTATTGTTGCAGGCAAGGATGACAAGGCCTGGAGTATGTACATTGACTACCAGAGAAGCTGGTTCATCCACAGAGATGAACACACCAACCGCACCGACGGGGGCATCAAATGTGGCTCAGTGATTGGCTGTATACTGGATCTCAACAACCACACTCTCAGTTACTTCATCAATGATGAACCTCATGGACCAATCGCGTTCACCGACCTCCACGGTGTCTTTTTTCCTGCTGTCAGCATCAACCGCAATGTTCAGGTCACACTACGCACTGGTATCGAGCCACCTGTTGAAAGTGAAGGAAGTGCCAGTGATGAAGAGTGAGATGTAACGGCCCTTCCTATTGGCCCCATGTTTAGTCATTTTATTCTGATTGGTTCACTGATTGACATGAGACTGTAGTGTCAGTGTGGTTTGTTCATAGACAAAATCAGATATTCCAATTGATTCACCTTCGTCATCTTATTTAAGACCCTAATTTATGGGGGACAAAATTCAAAATATTTTGTGGCAGTTGATTGTGCAGATGCTTAAAGAGTAGGTAGCAACATTCTTCATGGTGTATTGCTAGTGATGCATAGTATATCCAAGTCCTTCCCAATACAGAGTACCGCTATATCATAATATACCAGCCATAGCAATACAGATGAGCCCTCTATGCAGATGAGGATGTATCTGTTTACAGTACATTGAACAACCAAAATGTACACCTACACTTTTAGAAACCATGACTAAAGGTTATTAGGCGTAGCTTTGGTCTTATAACTGCTGACAGTGAGTACTTGACTTTTTACAAACCTTCCCATGACTTTCCAGACCCATACCAGCTTTCCCCTGTAAGATGGGTAGATCAGTGGCCCAGTGTTTTTGGTGTCCTCTCAAGATGCTGAAGGCTTGGGTCACAAGGATAATGACATACTAGCATTGCCTACAACAGTCAGATCTGGGCCTTTCAAAGTCGAGAGTTCCACAAGGATAAGGCCATGACATCTTTGCACAGTATGGTCTGATCTGGGCCTTCAGTCAACATGGTTCTACAAGTAATATGAATGTCACTGTGTCCATGATGCGTCATCCATCAGTCATCCTCAGCTATATTCCCATTATTTCCACATTCTTATTTGTGTAACATGACAAATAAGTCAACATAACATATCTGTTTGACCACATGCTATCCATAAACGTTCTTCATGATATTTATGATATGTGACGTGTCAAGTGTTAGGCGTAGTATGACATAGAATACATATGTACATATATATTTATTAATATGTATAACAATGCTGAGAGAATTCAAAAGTACAGCGAGACTTATCTCATTGTGTGGCTTAGAGAAGTATACATCTCTAAGTGTACATCACAGTTGTATGCCAGAATGTGTGAACATGGTCAAAAGTTTTTTAATGTTTTATAATAGTGCTGTATTTTTGAGAATATTTCATTGATATTATGTCAAGACATCATTTCAACATAGCATGCTCCACCAATGTCAAAGTTTATGCATCACTTATATTTTATACTTTTAACGTTTAGACATCCACATGCTCATTGGGAAATGACTACATCACTTGGAATACTACTTGCTCAACACTATCTCTCTCCTACCAGATTTCATAATGTTTCCATTGAGACATTTTCAAAGAATACCAGTAGTATACAAAAACGTAATGACTAGTTTCAACTAAATGTATCTGGCTTGATCTGTTTCATGAAACACATATAGCTTCTATGTATGTATGAGATATGGTTGACAAATAGAAATGAGACAATAAGGTTGGCAAGTTTTGGTGCTTGATGGCCTATGAATGAATTACAACTAGTAGCATGAACTCTACATTGGTATATAAACCATATACATTATAGAGACATAACATTATGTTTGACGTTTACACAGGTTTGACCATCAAATACCTACCTCAAATGGTTGTATCAACCTTTTTTTTTTCTTTTCTTTTTTCATTTCATTTTTTTTTTATAATCATATGTTGTATTTTAAGATGTTCCTTTCCATTTACAACCAACCTCATGCTCCACAAGACAACTTCTGTCCATGTGACATGTTTCACAATCTCAACAATGTTCTGTACTCATAAGTACTCATGTACACTATATGTACATTGTCATAGGTGGCCCAGCCATCTAAAGTGCTGTGCCCTTAGGCACAAGGGTGAATGTGAGTTAACCCCAGTGATGTTTCTAGGGTTGTCAGCGCCATAGCGTACTCATTGGTTACACCAATGTAGTAAACAGCTGAGGCCTGCATCACATCTATGAATCTGGCATGATATAACCAGAATACTATTCAAAGCACTCACTTTTTCTTTTACATGAATATTCATGCATCTATGATTATATGTCATTGGTACTCACCATTATGAAAGCTTTACTATCACATTATTACCAAACATGTAGATAACACAACATGACCAAGATCATACATTTGGTGCCAAGATAAGGTGCCATGACCAATACAAAACTCAAGGCTATAACCAATTTCCTTTAAAAAAATTCAAAGCATTTCAACAATAGTGTTTTTGTGTGTTACCCGAGTAGATCAGATCCCAGACTTGATCAAGTGTGGGAGTGCCTTTGTTTGTTTACATTGTGTGGCATGTTTTGTATGAGCATTTTATATTTTATAAATCCAATTTTACAACATGCTGTAAGTTTATTTATACTGCAACACACAATGTTAGATGAGATGAACCTGTGTGTATTGCATCTACCCTGTTTGTGGATGAGCTTAATTACAGTAGCTGTGAGGAAAGTGTCATCTTGTGTACAGTATTCTATGTATTAAGCAGCAGGGCACATAATCAGTTGAAGGGAACTAGCATTTTCTTTAACATCTTAGGTACTTTAGTAAATGTTTTAAGTGACAAAGCCACACAAGGTTTTCAGGATGGGTACTTTTTGTGATAAATGACTTTGTTTCAACAAAGTACAATAATAATAATTAAGAGACCTGGATTAAGTCAGTGCCTGTTAAGATCATACAGATTTTTTAAAGATATAAATATGGTGCTTAATACATCAAATATGGTTTATGAGGGGTTACCTATTCACCAGTCACTGTGTAGATGGTCCTGTTAGCAGGGTAGATAGCTTGTCTCACTTGATGCTAGTCATGTGACCATAAATACTTGTGCTGCATGTCATCCTAATCATCCATGTCACTTTCATTTGGTTGTGGGTGTAACATTTATACATTTGTTTTCCTGATGATATAAATCAGTCTGTTCTGTTTGAACCTACATAACCTAGCAGTGATGATGTTTGTGAACTATAGTGCATAGGTTTGTAACCATCCTTGAAAAACAGAGATAGTTGTCTGTAAAACAGTACATGATATGACAACATACTGACAATTATTCATGTATTAAATACTGTTGCAGGAACTACACCCACTACAGGGGATTTTATGTTCATGTTAAATTAATTACAGATTTTGGTAATGGATCACTGAGACCCATCAGTGCATATCCAGCAAAAAGCAGAATCCCTAGTTCACAAAGTGATCTACAGTAAGTTTTCGTTGAAAAGTATACAACAGTTGAACTCTTTCTTGGGAATATTTTGGAAAGACACTGAAAAGAGAATGATATACTGTATGTTCAAGGATGGTTTTCCCCCAAGTGTTGACCATTATAGAAATGTGAGAACTATGTTGTGTTCTTGAAGAGGTCATGTTGAGACTCCCTGCCCAGTAAGCAGGTGGGATATGTATATTTTGTGTTCTCTGAACTTGATGTTTCTTTTCACCTACTGTCTTTTGTTAGCATCAAGAAACTCAGGTTATTACTTGCACTGACTCTTTTGTTTAACTGTAAACATTTTGCACTAATTATCAAATGGCTATTAATGCTTTTACATGCAAAATAATCAAAATGTTCTTTGATTTTGTTTTGAACTTTTACAGTGATTTTTATTTATTGCATTGTATACAGCAATATTTTCTCCAAAGTTTGAAATGTTTAGCAGTGTTACTTTTATCTCTAATTTAATTTTCAAAAGGAGCTAAAAAACAATGAAACGTTTTAATCATTTTTAGCATGGTATAATGAAAGAACTGATTTACAATACAGAACTGTGAATTTAACAGTTTAGCAACAGAAGTTCTGTAGTCTTTCTCATGCATATGTTTTTGATTAAATATTTATCTGTTGATTGTATGAACAGTTGAATTTAGATTCATTAACAAAGGGATCATTTTTGATATCTTTGGATTTTGATTTGTACATAGTTTAATTGTAAGCCAGTTGAATTTTGTGTTAAATTTGTACATTGCATTTGCTAAATGTAAATACCTTCTGTTTTAACACAGACAAGCAGCATAGGTGCATCAGTGGAACAGTTCTGCTAGCTTGAGTTCATTGTATAATAATCAACAAAGATATCTGGCTCTTGTTTACCGATTCTGGTTAAAATATAGGTCATGTAAAAATGTATAGCATCAAATATTTGTCAGTTTCAATTCTTTCTCTATGTGCCATAGAGCTGTGTCTGATATCTGTTATAAATATAGAACCAAGATGGCTATCTTGGTTCATGATGATTTTGAATTGTAGAAATTAGAACTCCCCTTCCCCTTCCCTCCCCCCCTTTGTATATTTCACAGTTCATTTCCTACCACCCTTGGGGTTTTGCTGTTCATATTTTATGTCCTGAGAATCAACCACATTGTATTTATTGTACATGTTTCTAGTTTAGTGTAGATTGTTCGTGAATCCATATTGTCTCATTATTTATGGCTTACTGTAGGTCTCTAGAACCAAAGACATTTTGTTTACCATGCATCATTTGTGCAATGAATAAACTTTCAGTAATCCAAAATGACATTTTATTATCTCTGACCCTGTGTTCATAGTTAGTTGTAGATATTTGCGGGACATGTCATGAACAGTATGGGTGGATTTAGGCCAAGTTTGGTGTATGCTGACAATTATAAAAGACTGACACCTTTATTTTTCAAGCAGATTAGTCAAAGATCAAATGACCATGAATGAAAATGGCTATTCCTGGTCATATGCTGTTTTACATTTGTTTGTTGGTTAATGCCACTCTCAGCTATATTCCAGCTATTTGACAGTAGCCCGGAATACCTCATTCTGGATCAAGCTATCCTGTGCTTGTTATTATGAGCATGTTACAAATCATCTATGACACACAGAAAATCAGAACTGATCCTGACCACCTGACCCATACAGCTGACTTGTACAAAGCTGCTGGGCACCAAATGAAGCCAAATTAACTTCACATTAACTTGTATGAGTGACTGCATTAATCTCACCTACCTACAGAATACAGAAGCTAAAAGAACTTCACACAGTCTGGTACAAGTGACTGCTTTAACCACTAGACTACCTCAGCAACCTACAAAATACATAATGTAAAAGAACTTCACACAGTCTGGTACAAGTGACTGCTCCAACCACCAGACCTTTTCAGCAACCTACAAAATACATAATGTAAAAGAACTTCAGACAAACTGGTACAAATGACTGCTTTAACCACTAGACCACTTCAGGAACCTATTACATACCGAATGTAAAAGAATTTCACTTCACTCACAGAGATGCTTGAAACCTAACTTGTGCCTGATGACAATCAAAATCAATAGCTCATTTAGACTCAGTGAAGCAAGACTTAAACTCACTGCTAAAACAAAAGAATTCTCGGATCAGAAAAAAAGAGATTAAAAACAACTATACTTTTAAGGACTTGAACAATGAAAAAGTTATTTAATAAGCCTGCACTTTATGACATCAGGATATCATATATACATTCTTTGATGATATGAAGCCTATCAGAAATATATCAATGAACTTTTATTTGATATACACTTACTGAAACCTTTGAAGTTGCTTTAATCTGAAAGAAATCAATATGTTAACCACTTATATCAAACAATCATCTCTTAAATTGTTATGTGTTTCCACAGTGACCCTCAAACAGCTTCCCTGTGATTTTGCAGTGTATACTGTAATGTTAATTTATATGCAGAAGGTGTTATTGTTGGTTAACGTACACACACACACACAGAAGTTGTTGCCAGACATATTGTTGGGGTGAGAATCTGACAGCAGAATCTGCAAGTTGCATGGGACTGGATGTACAGGGCTAATATTCACATCTACACAAATAAACATCAGCTTCTCCTTTGCTGCATGATAGTGAGTTGTGTTGGTGCATTGTGTCCATATGCAACTGGAACAATATGCAATGTGGCATCTTTCAACAAACAGATAAAATGCTGTTTACACACCACAGAGAACGTTAATTGTTCTGCATTATTTCTTAGTGGAAATTTGTTTGTTTAGCTTACACTTCCGGGAAGATTATCAGGGTGTAGACTGATTTGCAGTTCAGGCATAAACCATTTTAGCAGAAGTATTCAAGAGATTATATTTTCTTCTAATGCAGATATATCTAGGAGATCTGGCTACTATGCAGCTCTGTCATTTCATGCAACCGTATTGTCACAGAGATGTTAAGTTTTAATAGTGTTTTGCTTCAGCATCGGTAAATATGCATGATTTAATCTGCCTGACTGAATCAATCAATTGGACTAATTAGCTTTGACAATTGTGTCACCAAAGTACCGCATCCAAGGGGTTCTGTAGGTATAACTCTGTTAAACAAAAGTATAATGCCACCAGTTAACATCCTAAAATAGTCATTCAAAGTTAACTTTGTTCATTGTTTGGTGAACTTTGTAACCCAGGGTCATCCAGGATTTTGAATTGGAACACTAGCAGTGTCACTGTTTTGTGTGTAGACATGATGTCAGTGTTTTGCAAGTAAATACAATTTATAGTGTCACTGTTTCGTTTTGTGACTTGGTGTCACTGTTCGGATTGTACATGTAGTTACTTAGCTGTGCACAGTTTGACATTTAGAACCTTCTGATGTAGTGATAGTTCTCTTGTCTTGTGACTAAAGCATCCATCGAAGGCAAACGTATGATTCACCACATGAAAAGTGTATGTATATAATGCAATTGTAGGGCACCTAATATCCACCTCATAGATGCTCAGGGACACTAAGGACAAATTGTGCACAAAGCACAGGCATTATTTACCCAAGCTGCCTTTGAGGTGCTAGGTTAACTGGCTTATGACTAATGTTTAGTCTCTGAATATATATACCCGGTAATTTTGATAGAAACAAACAATTCCCTTTAAACTGAAAAGGAGCCTCAGTGAGAAGGGAGATTCCTGAACCTGAGCAAATCTAGTTTGTTTCAGTTAGGGCTTGACCATTGCAGAAAGGGCTAGCCAGAATAATGCAGTTCAGGGACTGAGACAGACTATCATATGACCATTTTATCCCATTCACAGCTGAGGAAGCAGATTCAATTTTTTAACAAACTCACTTGAATAAGGTGAGACTACATGTTTCATGTGTGGTTCGTTGTGGGTCTGGATGAAGTCCTAGAAACTCTCAGGAGCCAAACTGCCAAACACCCATTATGGACTCTCCCGTGACCAATGCTGCTTTACCTCAACTGATTTATGACATGGTCTCTATGCACAAGATCACACACCAGTACAAGAATGTGTGAGCATATATATCATGTGTCTGATTGTTTGAATTTGATGCACTAATGCTAAAACAGTTTCAAACCATACTCACAAACTAATATTATGGACTGGTTTCTGGCTGGCTGTGCACTGCAACAACTTTGCAAGTTATATTCTATTGTAATCCATACCACTGAATGTATTATAGCCTTTATCCAAGGGAAATGGTAATTTGATAAACATTTAGGGATTAACAAAAAAGCACACCAAATATTTAACTTAAAGTAAACAGTCAGATGTGGTTGGTATGTTTCTTTACTCACTGAGACAGCAAGGTAGTCTCGTGGTTTAGGCATTATTGGACTTACAACTTTTATTCATAAATAGGTATCATGAATGACCCACATTTCTGGTGTTTCACACAGCACGAACATTGCTAAAAGTGATGTCAAATAACACTTACCCTTTTCACATCATTACAACACAAACTTAAACAGCAACAAGGTCAGGACAGTGGTTCACAGGCATAGCACAGAACAGAATCATGATACTTGGCCTTGATATATTGGACACAATAGGAAATGAGTTTCAATCCAACAATCAGTCTTATTATGATTAATGGCCATGGTTTCATCAAAATAGTATGACTACCTTTTGTATTGTTGTAAAACATGAAAATGTTTAATTAAACCCCATATGCGTACATAGAGTTTGTGACCGCCTCCGTGGTGTAGTGGTTAGAGCATCCGCCCGGAGAGCGGAAGGTCGCAGGTTTGATCCCCGACTGCGTCATACCAAAAGACATTAAAATATGGTACTTGTTGGTTCCTGCCTGGTGCAACAAGGACTGGTCGGCTCGGAGTCAGTATAATGTGTCTGAGTGGGGTATTCATGCTTTACTGCGGCATGGTATCTCAGTGGGCTAGCACTATAAAACCAGCTTCAGTCTGGGCTAGTACAAGCAGCCGCACATACACATACATCCACGTTGTCATATGAGCGAAGTATTCTCAAGCACGATGTTAAACCCATTTCACCTCACCTAGTTTTTGTAGTCCATGTAATTGAAGTGTCATTAAAATACCCCACATGTGAACATACTGTCAAGCCTAGTTTCTGTAGTCTGTGTAACTGAAAGTGGCATTAAAATACCCCAAATGTGAACATACTGTAAAGAAGCCTAGTTTCTGTAGTCCATGTAACTGAAGTGGCATTAAAATACCCCACATGTGAACATACTGTAAAGCCTAGTTTCTGTAGTCCATGTAACTGAAGTGTCATTAAATACCCCACTTGTGAACATAGTGTAAAAAAAGTTTCTGTACTCTGTATAACTGAACACATGTGAACATATGCGCCTGGCTGAGTATGGTTTTGCGCCGTTTTTAGCAATATTCCAGCAATATCATGGCGGGGGACACCAGAAATGGGCTTCACAAGTTGTACCCATGTGGGAATCGAACCACTAGGCTACCCCACCACCCCGGGCACATGTGAACATAGTGTAAAGCCTAGTTTCTGTAGCCCTTAAACCTAAAGTGGCATTAAAATACCCCACATGTGAACATAGTGTAAAGCCTAGTTTCTGTAGTCCTTAAACCTAAAGTGGCATTAAAATACCCCACATGTGAACATAGTGTAAAGCCTAGTTTCTGTAGTCCTTAAACCTAAAGTGGCATTAAAATACCCCACATGTGAACATAGTGTAAAGCCTAGTTTCTGTAGTCCTTAAACCTAAAGTGGCATTAAAATACCCCACATGTGAACATAGTGTAAAGCCTAGTTTCTGTAGTCCTTAAACCTAAAGTGGCATTAAAATACCCCACATGTGAACATAGTGTAAAGCCTAGTTTCTGTAGTCCTTAAACCTAAAGTGGCATTAAAATACCCACATGTGAACATAGTGTAAAAGCCTAGTTTCTGTAGTCCTTAAACCTAAAGTGGCATTAAAATACCCCACATGTGAACATAGTGTAAAGCCTAGTTTCTGTAGTCCTTAAACCTAAAGTGTCATTAAAATACCCCACATGTGAACATAGTGTAAAGCCTAGTTTCTGTAGTCCTTAAACCTAAAGTGGCATTAAAATACCCCCACATGTGAACATAGTGTAAAGCCTAGTTTCTGTAGTCCTTAAACCTAAAGTGGCATTAAAATACCCCACATGTGAACATAGTGTAAAGCCTAGTTTCTGTAGTCCTTAAACCTAAAGTGGCATTAAAATACCCCACATGTGAACATAGTGTAAAGCCTAGTTTCTGTAGTCCTTAAACCCTAAAGTGGCATTAAAATACCCCCACATGTGAACATAG